AATTCTCAGCAGCTTTATATGCTAAACAAATCCTATCCAATACTTGGGTCAAAGAGGCAAACGACATACACCTTCAACAACCACAGTGAACTCTGCCCTAAGAAACATCCGCGAGAAGATACGAAAAAGAAAACTCGGTTGCTATGACTATTATTACTGCAATACTGCCAGATAAGGAGTATTAAAGACTGCTTAAGTCTATCTAGTTAATTAATTAATTAATTAATTATTGATTTAAAATATGACCGCACATACCTCTAAGATGAAAATCCACTTCATAATCATCACGAAAGTCACTGAACAAAGGTATGTCATCCTTGAGCAAATACTTCCCGTACCGCGCAAGAAAAGTTTTTGGAGACTGGAAGAACAGTTCACTGCAAATCTGCAGTTTTTCATCATCACTGAGATCTGGCTCGTCTTTTTGTTGGCTCCGGAAAAACGCCCCCTCGGCGGAAACAATTCTTGAAAACATCGCTTGGCGACGAAGGCGGTTTCCCTTGTTGGCATCCTCCTCCTCGTTCTCCGCTTCGTCGTAACATTCCACTGAACCAGATGCAGTGGCAGCCAAACCGTTGAATATAACCATGACTAGAAAGAATAACACACGGAAGATCGGTTAAACCGAGTTTGAATTGACAGATAATTCAGATTTAGGAAGGGAACACGGTGCAAGTCAGCAAAGCAGAGATTTCCGTCCAGAACGTAAGCTTCAACGAAAGCTCTAAAATTGTGTAAGATGCAATTTACAAAAAAAAATTACAGTAAAAACTGTACCTTAACAAAAGTAGAGCAAAAACATCTGCTCGATTAGTTTTTCTTCGTTTATTACATCTTAGTGAACAGTGAAGAGTGCGTACATTACTACTGATGTAAGTTAGAACGGCGTTAACAAACGGCAGTTGGTGTAAAACAAATTGCTAAAAAACAAGAAAATTACTAAAACATTAGGAGGGAGCGAATCTTCTTCCGTCGTATAAACTAAACGAGAGTCATGACATTCAGTTTGTCAGGATTATGCATGCAGCTTAAGCCTCACCTCAGGTTTACGCTAAGAAGCCTATATGTACTCCATGCTTAATAGTATGGATTAAGTTTATCCTTTAAGAATTACTAGGAACGAACTATGCGGACCACGTACAAGCAGCATAACGTAATACAGTGAGATAATGCCATAAATATAAGAGTTCACATTGGTAGTCGAGTGATGAGCAGATTTAAAAAAACACTAGTTGCCATTCAAAGTATGATCTGTCACATTTGCTCTGCTATCCTCCATTTTAGGTCAAGGATGGGTATGGTGGATATACGTGAATTCAATATTATAACAATAAAGACAGTAAGAATCAGCCATCTGCCATTTTCCTAAAGCTAACAACAGCCATAGACTCATTACAATCTTTGTTCATCTTCACATTTTGACTTCCGACACTAAGGATGAACTGAGTTTAGGGACTAAGCTGTCCGTGTTAAGGAGGTTTTACACCATCATGATCACCTATTCATTAGTCATGATCGAAAGTTTACGATCCCCTCAAACTCTGGCGCCAAAACCGTTGGACTCAGTGATGCATTTCCATCCGCGACCTGAAAAGACAAGCAGTCGTTGAAACTGATTCACTGAAAGTGTAAGCAGATCGATACTAGGTTTTACCGATCACATTCGTTACTTTAAATCTCGAGCTTAATCTGTACTGTTCATTTCATGGTTCCAAATTATCTTATCATTGTTCGTAACAGCATCCTACCTTTCCTGTTTCATGAAATAAAGAACTATTTCTTGCACAAAAGATGTTTCATGGTCAAAATATGTAAGGCTCGTTTTTCAAAAAATTTTTGACCGGTATTTGCCGGTTACTGATATATTGAAGGTGTATCCCTTAGACAGGACGAGTTGTATGCCATAGAAAACAGCCTGCCGAGGATTGCAGGTAAGAGTTGAATAATTTAAACTTTCTTGGCATCTGCTGAAATGGAATTCCAAATATACAAACACGAATGTTTCTAATTCAACAGTCACAGGCAAACAATCAGTCCGCGACTTTGTAAAATCGGGCAACACTATTCTCATCGAAGGTCAGTGAAAAAATACAGCAGTATGAGTTACAAAAATACGTA